ACCCACATCTGGCTGCTGTCTCCACTCAACGAGAAGGGGCATATCAGGTAGGACCAACGCCTCATTCTATATTTTCAAAACAATAAAGAAAATTTGAAAATTTTCTTTATTTAAAATCAGAAATTTCTTTCAAAGTGTCCAGGGCTTTGGATTTGAGCTCAACATAGATGGATTGATGGGCAGATCATTGTATTCTTAGCCATCACATTTACTCCATGAATATCTTATCATACATTCTTCATGATTATTTGACCACATTTTCTCCATGATGAACTTAACAAGCACATTCTGTCCATGATGAACTATCTCCAACTTGATCCTTCAGCTGTAAATATTCAATAAAAATAAATAAAATCCAAAAATAATTCCCAGGAAATACATAGCTATTTAAAACCCAACAGAGGCTATCTGTATTTGTTTTGAAGCACCTTTTTCACTAGAATCTGAAGCCTCTACTAATTTTTAGTACATACTAAGAAAAGTATGCAGAAAGATTTATATAACAATGAAATTCTTTAGATAAAGAAAACATACATTTGTTTGCCAATTTACTGTAAAATTAACCTTAACACATATTGCACCCACACAGAATTCTCCTCTAAAGCTTTTGTTCAACTACTTCAATTAATTTCACTATTAGATCTTCTGAATAAAACTTAAACTGAAGTTGTTTTGATGAACCAAATTAGAATGGGTGATTCTAATAAATTGGTTATTCTAAGTGGTTTTGCACAACCTTAGCAATGAGACAACATAAAGTAGCAATAAAATAATTTTTAGCATAACAAAAAAGTATTTACTTACTTACTTACTTGTTTGTTTGTTTATATTTCACATTTCTAAACCACCCATATCCCTTGAAGAGGGACTCTGCACAGTAAAACATCAAAAATGAAAGAAGATATACTCTATTGAGTAATAATTCCATTATTTCAAGCTCCATATTTCTATCACATTTGGATCAACCAAATGTCCTCAAAATATAGTTCCTATTAAATTTAGCTAACATATTCTCTAAAAATTAAAATATGGAAATCTACTTTAAATTGCTGTTATCATCTCTACTTTAACTAAAGATTTGAAAGAAAAAACAAGGAAATTTCTACTCTATACTTTATTTCATGAAATAAAGCAGAGGGCTTTATTTCATTTGTTTGGACTTCATCTCTCAACTGGACTTCATCTCTCAACTTAATTTCAACTGTTTTCCCCCAAAAAAGAAGGAAAATTAGCATTTGTTTCAGATTATAGAAACCTTGGTGTCTTGAGATGCCTATGTTCCTGGAACAGGGTGATCCAATAAATAATACTATAGAAGAAGAAGAAGAAGAAGAAGAAGAAGAAGAAGAAGAAGAAGAAGAAGAAGAAGAAGAAGAAGAAGAAGAAGAAGAAGAAGAAGAAGAAAGAAATATAGAAATAATATAGAGGGACATGGATTCTTCAGAGTGCCAAATTCTTGTTTGAAAAAGCAGCAATACACTCTATCAGGAAAGGAAGGAAGGAAGGAAGGTAGGAAGGAAGGAAGGAAATTTAGTTTAGCTTAAAATTTAAGGACTTACATTTTTTAAGGATCTTTATAACTCTACTCCCCAAGAATACAAAATATAGTATTACATTATTTAATTTAAAACATCTCTTACTAGTAAATTATTCATAATTAGCCCACAGTGTTTTATTATGAGTAATAATGAAGAATTGGGAGGTGGTAAAACATTTTAAAAGTTTGCTTCTTTACTTAAGAAACTTACTAATTCACTCCTTGCTTCTAGACTCAGTGATGCTCTTTGTTGATTTCTTTAGCCTAAGAAATGCTGTATCTGTTATTGGCTGCTAAAAAGTTATAAATGTTTGTTTGGCACATTCACATGACTTTGGCATTTACCGTAATGAATTGTTTCCCTTGGGATAAGCATACAGGCCTTTGTAGTAATTAGAGAATTAAGAATCAGCTTGGATTTTTATTCCTTTCTGTATTATGCTTCCAAATATAACTGATGTGTAGTTTTCAGTCTCACAGATTTCCTAATAGCTCTCATGAGCTATTCCACATAAGAAAAGAGCATGAAGAGCTGTGGTGGCACAGTGGTTAGAATGCAGTATTGCAGGCTAATTTTGCTGACTGCCAGGATATTCAATCCTCACTGGCTCAAGATCAGCCTTCTATCCTTCCGAGCTCAGTAAAATGAAAACCCAGATTGTTGGGGGCAACATGATAACTCTGTAAGCTGATTAGAGAGGGATTTAAAGCCCTGTGAATAAGTATATAAGTCTAAATACTACTGCTATTGCATGGTTAAAATGAAAATTCCTTTCCTGATTGAGGCTCCATTAGAAGGTCTAGCTTTGCAATCTTCCATCTTGGGAGTGTGGGGGGGAACCCTGAATCTTATAGCTGTATAGTTACACTACAGAAAGTTGTTTATTTTTCTTTTTAAAATGTTTTTTGAGGATTCTAGGTGAGATGAAAATAAGTAGTGATAACAGTAATGATGAAGTGCTAATTGGAGTGAAAAAGGCAGGATCATGTTACAAGAGCCCAGAAATCCTGGGGAAGAATGTGAGACCTCCAACTACCTATCCCATGAGTCAGTTTTGCTACATGCAAACTATTATAGGGATTCACATAGTAGAAACAGATTTTCTTGTAATTCATTTACTATTTTATTCAATTACTATTCACCCCATAACAATCTGATTGACTCTGCAAAACATTGTAATTCTCTCCCCCACTCCCCACTCTTGAATACATAGAAGTCAAACTACTATGCAGTTTGAATAGTCGATGGCCTAACTAACTGACCAAATTTTTCTAATGTTTCTAAATGAGGAAGACTTGTGGATATAAACTTGTGGCCTTTATAACCAATATGCATCAAATCTGAATTTGCAAGTTGTCTGTTCCAAAATGATATCCAAATGAAGCAGATTGAGAGGTTATTGATAGATGCCTGTGAATACTTCAATAGGAATTCTCTTGTACCTGTAACATAAATGAATATAATAAAGGATGGTTCCAGTTTCCATTATCTACTAGATAATGGTGTTTAATAATATACTCAAAGTTTAGAGAGCCACAGTATCTATTATATACTCCTCATTCATCAGTGACCAATATTGGCCCAAGGCATTTTAAGTATAAAATCCATGTGCCAAAGAGGAAACAAAAATTACCCTAATTTACCTATCATTTACAGAAAAATAAAATAAAATGAGGTGGAGCAATAATGATAAATTTGACATGTTAAAATCAAATAAAGTATAATAAAATAAATAGCAATAAATCACAAAAATTCTATGAATCACAAGAATTTTCAAACTGTGCATTTCTTGGAGGCCACAAAGGTTGAAATACAGATAAGAAGCTCAGAATCTGCAGCAATCTCTCTTATGGGAAGGCACAGAACATCACAAATATCTGAATGTAGGAGAAAAGAAGGCCCTGGCCACTGGTGGGATTCAAGTAATTTAACAACCGGTTCTCTGCCCTAATGATTTCTTCCAACAACCAGTTTACCAAACTGCTCAGAAAGTTAACAACTGGTTCTCCCAAAGTGGTGTGAACTGGCTGAATCCCACCACTGGCCCTGGTCTAGTTCACACTCCACATTACATAGCTACAGATAAAAATGTTGCACTCATTCAATGGCTTCCCAAGCCATTGCTGATAATGTAATATCAACTAGGGAAGAAAAATAACACTCAGATGCAGATAGAAGGATGGAAACATTTTATTCACTCCTGACTGTTCCTTAGAGGCATCTATGCTCAGTAGAATGTGGTCAGGTTAATCAAATTACTTTTTCAGCGTGGTCTTAAAGATGTGCAATTAAAGGCTGGTAAGCCTATCCAATATGAGGCTTCTGCAGCAGTTTTATAGCTGATTGCTTACTTTCATACATAGAGAGGCGTAGTGATTCCATCATGCTCAGCCACTTAATTGGCAATGAATCTTGATGTCTTAAGCTTGTAGAATAGAGTACAGTGACAATTGTAGCAGCTACTCTAGCTAAAAAGGAAGTCTTATTCTTTCAGACTTAGTTTTATGAAATCAGTGAGACACATGAACATTCCATACAAATTTCAGAAAAATGGTTGCCCAATCTCTTCTTAAAAGTCTATTTCTCAAAACAAAAAAGCCCATAGGGATTGGTGAGACTTATTTTAATTCTAGTAACAGTTATAATTCTGGAAATCACCATCATCATCACCATGGTTTATGGGGGATGGGAAGTCATACAGTTTACACAGCATCCAAATACATTGCATTGATCATTGATCAGTTTAAATACAAAGAGAGAGAGGGGAGGGGGGAAAGACAGAGGCAGAAAGACAGAGACAGAAACAGAGACACACACAGAAAGAAACACAAATACAGAGAGACAGAGAGTCACAAAGACACAGAGAGAATGTGTTTGACTATACATACACAGAGGGAGATAAATACATAAATGTGAAGACATATATAAAATATATGTATGTGTGCATGCATGTTTATAATCTAAGTAATCAACTATTCATAGCCCAAATAAAGACAAAATATTTTGGCATATTTCTTGGTGTTTTGGGAGGAATGAGTTTTATAGATAAGTCAGAGGTTTATGGAAGTTACATGCAAAATTCTTCATTCAAAAAGTTCTACATAAATGGAGAAAGATTAATTCCACTAGCATTCTCATCATCATCATCATCATCATCATCATCATCATCATCATCGAGGATCACACAAATTTTCTTATTATTAACAATAGTTCTTAAATTGTCTGATGTTATCAACTTTATCTGAATGATTATTGATATATATGGCTACATAAATGAAATCCGGTTATTTTGATCCAGCAGGCCTTCTTAATTTATATGAAACAAGCTTACAAAAACAAAACAAAACAAAAAACTTGGAATATTTTTCCAATACAACAATTCATTTCTTAGATCATTGTCTTCATAATATTCAATTTGTCTTATATCAAGCCATTTTACACAGTACCAGAAATTATGCATGTCTACCCATTAGCTTTTTGATGGCTTCTTTCACTTCCCTGTTTTTCAGGCTGTAGATAAGGGTGCATGGGTGTGTAAATACTATACTGAATGGAGAAAAGCCCATCCACAATAACTGAGGAGACTGAATTGGGCCTCATATACCTAAAGCATCCAGTGATATAATACAAAGCCACAACAATAAGATGAGCACTGCATGTAGAGAAAGTTTTTCTTTTTGCTTCTGGGGAATTCAACTTCAAGATAGTAGAGATGATGTGAATGTAGGAAAAAAGAATCACAGTGAATGAAGACATAGCAACGATACCACTAGTTATGAGTAATAGTGTCAAATTGAAGATTGTGTCTGTACAAGATAAGGCAAGTACAGATGTAAATTCACAACTGAAATGCCTGATAAAGCATTTTCCACAGAAATCCAACTTCAAAGCAGGAAATGTATTCATCGAAGCATATGAAAAAGCCACTACCAAGGCACCACCCACCAGCCATCTACAACATGCTTTGTTCATAATTTGTACATAATGGAGAGGTTTGCAGATAGCAGCATATCTATCGTAGGCCATTGCTGTAAGAATGCAAGTTTCATTGCTCCCCATTAGAAGAATAAAGAACATTTGGACAAAACAGGAAGAATATGAAATTGTCTGCCTTTCATTAAAAATTCCTAAGAACTTAGGCACAGTAACAGAAGACAAACAGATATCAAGAAAAGCCAGATGAGCCAGGAAAAAGTACATGGGGCTTGGGAGATGACTTGTAACAACCATAATTATTATATTTGCCAGTAAAGTTAGCACATAAATAAAAAAGAATACAAAAAAGAGGAAGAGATTCACTGGCAACTTATTTGAGAATCCAGAAAGGACAAAGAAAGTGATCGTGGTACTTCGATTTTCTGTTTCCATTTTCAGACAATAAAGAAAATTTTAAGAAAAGGAGAGAAAATCAACATAAGAATGAATTAGGATACAATGAACTAGGGTATCATGAATTGCCTAACTAAGGGTGGAGGTAGAATAGCAGAAGAATAATTGGAGTAGAGAAGATTGTGATTTCCACTTATATGGCAACAGCCTATTCTATACTTTAAACTACAAATGGGGGGTGTCAGATGCCTTTTTTGAAAATTTTCTGTTTCTCAATTTGGGACTACTTTTAAACTGTGCAAGGCTTTGGATCTGAGTTCAGCATTGATGGATTGATGGATGGATTATATGCCATCAAAGTCATGTTGACTCTTAGTGACCACATGGATTATCTGTAATGATCTGTTTCTAACTTGATCGTTCAGATATAAGCATTCAAAACAAATAAATAAAAATTTTAAAATGTACTATCCCAGGAAACACATGAGCAGGGCTTCCTGAGTATGTTCAGAAGAACTTTTTTGGGCTAAAATCTGAACACCATATTTAACTCTGCTATATATGAAGAAGAAGAAAGTCTGCAGAAAAAAGTCCCAAACTCTCTTATATATGAACTCTGTTATATATGAAGAAGAAGAAAGTCTGCAGAAAAAAGTCCCAAAGGTGCTTTTTTCAGGAGGCAACTGGACTTTCTTGTTTTTTTCTTTTGAAAATATTTTGCTTCTCATCTACAGACTTCTTCAGAAAGATTCACATAATAGCAAAATAGTGAAATCCTGAAATTAAAGAAAAATAATCTTTCCTTTGTCAATGTGCAGTAAAAATTCCCCTAGCATCCCACAGCCTCTAATACAAACTATACCTACACAGAATCCTCTTCAAAGGCTTTCACTTAGCTGCTTCAATTAATTTGACATTTATTTCTACAATTGAATAGGTTTAGCATAAATTCAGTATTTCATTCTGCAGAATTTATGGCAAATAAATATTATCTAGAGCTAAATTCTATCACCGAACTGCTTTGGGATGAATGTCAAAAGCAGATAAAACTTATGCAAACATACTGAAGAATTTATAAAAAAATAAATATTATTCATATTTGTATTTTCCTGAGACAAGGCAGAAAATCTTCAATGTGCAAGGGATTATGTGCAATGTGCAGGGACGATTCACACCCAGGCCAGCTCTTCTTTACTCTCCTACCATCAGGCAGGAAATATAGAAGTATAGCCAGTTGAACGAACAGGCTGAAAAATAGCTTTTATCCGTGGGCTGTCAGATTTCTGGATGCAATGTAACACCATAATTATTTGGTGTGATGTACTTGCAGGGCCAGCACAGCATGCAAGATGTCTACATTGATGCAATACAATATAATGTAATGTCATGCACATATATGTATATAGGATTGTGTGTCTGTTGGTAATCTATTGGATTAGGGGTTTTCCCCCTTTTTTTCCCTTTCTTTTTCCCTCTCTTTCTTTCACTTATGAGTTATTGAGCTGTATTTTGTGTTTGGGGGGTGCACTAGGGGAGACTCATCCAATCTCATTGTAAACATGTTGTGCATTGACAATAACGGTATGAATTGAATTGAATTGAATTAAAGTTCACTACATTTTCATGGAGTGGTCCCTTAAACTTGGAAGGTGCCCAAACAGTGTTATTTCATGCTCTCTATTTCCTATTTTCTATGTCATTTTCATCAACCAATGTCCTCAAAATATACTTTATTTTCAACTAACATATTCTTTGATCATTAAAATATAAAAATGTGTTGGAAAATTGCTGGCATCCGCTCTTTTTTCCCTGAAGATGTTAGAGGTGAAATGTGGAACTTTTACTATATATTCTGAGGAATTGTAGAAAAAATATTACATTTTACTAATGTTATAGAATATTTGTATTTTACAAAAGTATCATAGAAAATTAAATGCTTTTCAATGTCTTAAGATTTAGTGAAGGCTGCTGGATTTACCTTTATGGAAGACTTGCAGAAAGGATTATTTTTTCCTTTGTTTCTCTTAATTTTAACTTTCCTTCAAAAGGAAAATTGACATGTTTTCAGATTATAGAAAGCTTGATGTCTGGAGTTGCATATATTGTTGGAACATACAAATCCAGGAAATAATGTTGTACTAGTAAAAAAAAACTGGCATGGATTATTCAGAGTGTCAGTTTCTTGCTTGAAAAAAGAGCAATACCCCTGTATCAGAAAGGAAGGAAGAAAGGAAGGAAGGAAGGATAATAATTGTTTTAACTTAACTTAAAATTTAAGGAGATACATTTTAAAAAGATACTTTTAGTTTTACTAACCCCAAAAAAGAAAATAAGGTGAGATAAAATAAGATAAAATAAAATTATAAGATTATAAAATAATCTTTATTATCATTTTAATGTGTATACAATGGCACACATTAAAATAAAATTCCTATGCCCACTCTCAAAAGAAACAAAAACCCACCATCCACCAAACAGTGTCACCATCCCAAAAATAATATGATAACAGTCGCAGCATTCAAAAGGGACAAGTTATGCAGAATGATGGCAAAACATACATACATACATGCATACATACATACATACATACATACATATCACAATCCATCTTGAACAAAGAAAAATATGTTTAGTATTACCTTAATTAATTTAAAATATGTTTTATTATTGAATTATTCAGTATTAGTCAACAAAATTTTATTAAAAGTAATATTGAAGAGTCAATAGTTGGATTTTTTTTAAAAAAAAATAAAAAGCTTGTTTCTTTTCTTAAGAAACTTACCAATTCCTTCTTTACTTCTAGGAAATCAAATAAAAAACAGTGTAGAATAAAGTTTACCTCATTCTCTTTGTTGATTGCCAAGGCTGAAAAAATGCTGCATCTATAGTATATATTCACATGATCTGCCTTAGTGAATTGTTTCCCTTGGGACAAGCTTATAGACTTTCATGATAATTAGAAATATTATACCTGCAAGAATATTAAACTTGGCATTTTATGTTATTTTTGTTCTGTTTTTGTTCTGTGTTATTAAACTTGACTGTTCTTTGGGAGACCAAGATAAAATAAACAATGAAACAGAATTGAGGATCTTAAAACTTGAATATTAAAATTTCAAAGATTGGATTTGTTTTTCTATGAAATGTTTTTACTTCCATTTGGGGTGGAAGAAAGATTTCAGTTTCTAGCTGCATGGGTACACTACAATTTTTTTCTTTTCTTTTTGTTTTGGTATTTTTACGGGATACTATATGAGATGAAAGATGGTTTTGATAATAGTAATGACCAAGCTGCTATTTAAAAGGCAAGAGACGGGATCATGTTTTGGGAACCCAGGATTCCTGAGGAAATATTTGAGATCTCTAAGTATATATCCTATCTGGTCCACCTGACTCAGTTTCTATATGCTGCTTTATGGTGGCAGTGATGGGATCAAGTGCATACTAAAACCCAGCATATAACAGAAATATATTGGATCTTTATTTATCTATTATTTTATTTGTTTAATTTCTATGGCTGAACATCTCAACCTAATTAACTCTATAAAATACTGTAATCCAACCTCTCAACACTTTCTATACAAATAACACCTGACTTTATTACAAGGAAGTCAAGACTGCCCAAGAAATCATGAATTTATGTAATTTGAAGAGTCCATGGCCCAACTACTTGACTAGGTTATTCTAACTGTCCCCAAATTGGAGTTATAGATTAAATGCTTATGGAATCCAGACTAAACATTTATACATATAATTACCCCAGTTTATCAGAAGGGAACAACTCGCTGCAACCAACTTGCTATAGCTAATTCACAAGGCCACCTTGCCATGAGACAACTGGTACGTGGACCTTTCAACAATTCAATTTATTTATTGAAGACTTATGGTTTAGCATCACGGCGAGACAGTCAGGGAAATAGTGGGCTCTGATGAGTCTTGCAAAAACCCTGGCTGCCGAACCGCTGCCAATGGGTCTTTGGACCAGAACCGTTCTGCAGCAAAAGAAGAGGCACCTTGGACAACCAAGAGGAACAGGCAAGTTCCTTGGAGGTCAGAGGGAACCCTCTGTGAGTCAGCGGCGGGGGGAGGGAGCCATGGCAGCTGCCACGAAGCTGGAACAACCGGGCTAAGAAAAGTGCTGGAGGAAAGCAGAATAAAACGGAGCTTTTTGAAGCTGGATGAGTGACAACAAACCCAGGCTTGCAACAACGTGTGGAGCACTATTATTATTTAGAAGACCCCGAGCCTAAAATAGCAGCGTGCAACAAAGGGGCTTTGGAAAGTTTTAAACTGCAACCTTAAAGAGACAAAGACCCAAGAAACAACTAATTTTTGAACAGAACTAAGGGAATTAATTATTGAGATATGGTAAAAAGACTGGATACTTTAAAATTCGAATTGGATTCTAAAAAAAAAGATTTGATACTTTTAAAATTAAAAGGAGAATTGCACAAAATGGATACTTGCATGACTAATGGAAAATGTGAATTGTAGAGAGACACCATCTGGTTTAAAAAGGAACTTGTAACTTTTTTTTGTTTTGGAAAATTCTGAGCCCTACTTTGCGGAGGAGGTTTTTTTTTTTTTCCCTTGTCTTCAGGCAGCTGGATTTTGGTGAAAAGAAAAGGAAACTATAATGGAACTCCTATAGTTGAAACAACAATAACTAAAAAATTGGTGCAGGAACAAAAAAAGGATTAAGCACAGGCTAAAAAGAGGGACATACATTATATCCGGAATAAAAATAAGAAAAAGATTTAATATGATTTATGGAGAACAAAATTGAAAACTTTGAAAATGGAAGAAATATATGTTTGCAGGTGAGCAAATGAAGAAGTAAGATAAACACGACTGGAAAAAGGAAAAAAAGAAGATTTAAACAATGTGATTTAAAATAAAATAATGGATTGTAGTAATAAAAAGGAGGTTTTTATAGAAATTAAGAATGTTAAATGTAAATTCCTTGAAAAGGAATTTACACATATATTTAAAGATATGTTTGAAGCAAGAACCATGTTTCAATGTTAAATTGTTATGAAAAAGAATAAGGATAAATATGATTAATTAAAAATGTTAAAAGGAATTTATAAAGATATTTAAAGATATGACTTAAGCAAGAACCTTGTCTCAATGTTAAATTGTCATGGAAAAGGATAAGGATAAATATGATTATTTTAAAATAAGCAATGCATAGATGGATGGAAACAACAAAGAAAGGACTAAGAAGGGATCAATAGTTAAACCAATTATGATTATGTGTGTTTAACAGCCAAAAAATAAAAATAGATATGCTGTGTAACAACCAGAAAATAAAAACGACTATGCTGTATTTAACAGCCAAACAAAAATGGTAATGCTGTGTAACAGCCAAAATAAAAATGGATATGCTGTGTAATGGCCAAGAAACAAAAATGAGTATGCTGTGTTTAACTGCCAAAAACAAAATGGTTATGCTGTGTTTAACAGCCAAGAAATAAAAATGATTGGTTTAACAACAAAGATAAAGATAAAGATGTTGGGTTTTATAGTAAAGATAAAATGAGGTGGGATAGCCAAAATAAGGACGGGTATGTTGAGATTAATAGTTAAAATGAAATGAATAAGTTAGGTTTAATAATAGAAATAAAGATTATAAATGTTGAGTTCAATAGTAAAAATAAAAGGATTATGTTGGAATTAAATCTTTTATGAATGTTTATAATAATTGTATGAATATATATCCATCTAAGCAAATGAAAGAGAAAAAGGGAATGATAATTGGTTAGGATTTAAGATTTAAGTAATGGGTTTTTGGGGATAATGGCATAGTTAAATAGATAGATTTGAGGGAAATAACTGAGTAAAATATTAAGTTGTGTTAATTGAAAATTAAAATTTATTAGTGATTTGTATTAATTTGTGACCAGATCAAAAGCTTTGTTTTGAAAATATGTGTTTTATGTTTTTTTAAAAAATAATAAAAAACTTTATAATAAAAAAAAACAATTCAGTGTAATTATTTAAAATAATTTAAAATAATTTTAATTTTTGTCATTCACATTTCATTTTGTCTTACCTTTTGCATCTTTTTAAATAATTCTATTCCACTATTTCTTCACTATTAATGTAACTCTTGTCCCATGGAGAGTTGTTCCATGGTGAATTTGGCCACGGCAAATTGGCCATGGCAAGTTAGATGTGACAAGTTGTCCTAGACCCCCAAGTTGTGGCCTTGTTGAGTTGTAAAGGAACCCAGTTAGTGAGAGTTAATGCTGAGATTCACAGTAATGTGAATGATTTGACCTATGACTAATGAGGTAGAATAGCACAAGACTTCACTTGGCAAGGTTATGTCTTGAGAAGCAGTTTAAACTTTAGGAGTTCCAATCTTCCATCTTCAAGTCCCTTGAAATAATTGTTGTTTAGCAGGATATTGATAAATGAAAGTTCTGCTTTCTACAAAAGCATAATAAATCCTAGAAGCAGCTTTTCACAAAAAAAAAAAAGTTTGTGTGAATGACATTGGCAGATAAGATGAAAACCTGCATTTTTCTTTCTTTTTATAAGTTTATCTTGTTACACTTCTATCTCCTGTCTGTGTCTCTTATTTCTATTCCTTTTTTTGACCATTTGTTAGTTTTTATCTTTATATTATAAAAATTAATAAAATAATATTAATAAATAAATATTCACTTTTTATGAAGTTACATACAGAATTTTTAATGCAAAAAAACCTCTACACAAATTAAGAGAGATTCATTCCACTAGCAGTCCTCATCATTTTCATCATCATCATCATCACAATCAATATTACAATGTTTGTAGATGGTTTCAAATTCACATTATTTTAGTATTTCATACAATCACAAACTGAAATTCCCTGCTACATGAGACAGAATTGGGAATCATTAGAGGAAGCTATTTGCACAAAAGTTTAAAAATGTCTGGTTTCATCAGATTGTATCTGAATAATTATTGATCATAACATATGGTGACACAAATAAAATCCATTTATTTTGATTCCCCTATATCAGTTAATCTATATGAAACAACAAACTTTGGAATACCTGTCCAAAATAATGTGTTCATTTCACAGTCCACTGTCTCCATAATTTCCTTCATATGATATGGTATTTATACGGTACGAAAAATCAAAGATTTATAACCCATTAGTTTTTTGATGGTGTCCTTCACTTCTTTGTTTTTGAGGCTGTAGATAAGTGGGTTCAGCATGGGTGTGGAAAGACTGTACTGAACAGAGAAGATTTCATCCACAATAATTGAGGAAGCTGAGTTGGGCCTCATATATCTAAACAACCCAGTGAAATAATACAAAGTCAGAACTATAAGATGAGCACTACAGGTAGAGAAAGTTTTCCTCTTTGCTTCTGTGGAGTTTAACTTCAGAATAGTGGAGATGATATGAATGTAGGAAAACAGAATTATTATTAAGGAAGATATAGCAATGGTACCACAAGTTATGAGTAACAATGTCCAATTGAAGAATGTGTCTGTGCAAGATAATGCAATTAGAGAGGGAAATTCACAACTGAAATCCCTGATAAAATTTGCCTGACAGAAACCCAGCTTCAAAGCAGGAAATGTGTTTATTGAGGCATATGAAAAAGCCACTACCCAGGCAGCACCCATCAGCCATCTACAACATGCTTTGTTCATAATTTGAACATAATGGAGGGGTTTGCAGATGGCAGCATATCTATCGTAGGCCATTGCTGTAAGAATGCAAATTTCATTGCTTCCTGTTAGAAGAATAAAGAACATTTGGACAAAACAGGCAGAGTATGAAATAGCCTGTTGTTTGGTAAAAATTTCTAAGAGCTTAGGCACAGTAACAGAAGAAAAACAAATATCAAGAAAAGCCAGATGAGCCAGGAAAAAGTACATGGGGCTTGAGAGAAAATTTGTGACAATCATAATCACTATATTTGCCAGTAATGTTAGGAGATAAATAAATAAGAACATAAAGAAGAAGAAGAGATTCACTGGTAAATTATTTGAGAATCCCCAAAGGACAAAGGAAGTGATTGTGGTATTTTGATTTTCTGTTTCCATTTTCAGATGATGTAGAAACATCAAGAAAAAGAGAGAAAACAAAGTTTTATTAGGATGAATTAGGTTGCCATATAGTGCACAGTAAGGCGGCGGCAGGCGGGGGAGAGGTGAAATAGCAGAGAAAAATTTGGAATAGAGAAAATTGTGATTCCCACTTAAAAACCTACAATCTATTCTATACTTTCAACAGAATAAATGGGAGGGGTGGATTTCTTTTCTGAAAATGTTCTTTTCATGAGTTTGACATTGCTTCCAAAAATTCAGATTTGAGCTCAGCATTGAAGGATGAATTATATGCCATCAAATCATGTTGATTCTTAGTGACCCAATGGATTAATCTGTCTCCAACATGATCCTTCAGCTGTAAGATTCAATACAAATATATGAAATCAAAAATAACAATTGGATTATCTCAGGAAATGCATAGCTGTTTAATAGACTGTCAGGCAAGTTCTATTTAAGTATGTTCTGAAGCACATTTCTGCACTAGAATCTGAAGCCATTATTTAACTCCCCAGTGACATTAAGGAAACAAAAGGCTACAGAAAGATTCCTATAACAATGAAATATTTTAAATTGCTTTGAAGTGGTGTAGGGTTTTCTGCCTAAGCAGAGGGTTGGACTAGAAGACATCCAAGGTCCCTTCCAACTCTGTTATTCTGTTCTGTTCTGTTTTAGATAAAGAAAAATAAACTTTCTTTTGTTGATGTAAAAATTCGCCTTGCATTACACAGTCTCTAATACAAACTGTGCTTCCATTCAGCTAATTCAATTAATTTGACATTCATGGTTTCTTAATCAAATTTAACCTTCTGATGAATTAAATTCTAATTAGCTGAGATTGTTTTAACAACTTTAGCATAGAGAGAACATAAATTGGATGTAAGGCTGCATTTTAATATAACAAATATAATGAAAATGAAAGAAAAGAAATCACTATCTCATTATAAGTGAGCAATTATTTTCTTACTTTCCATTAATGGATTTACATTTTGTGATGTATATATCTCTGATAGTCAACAGCCCCACGGAAATAGTCATCACATGATAATGTAACTGAAGAAGCAGGATGGAACCTGGAACAATTTTTTTTTTTTTAATTTTCCAGGGGCAGGAATGAGTTTTGTCAGTAATGTACATGTTAAGCTGGTCAGAGGAAACATAACTTTTATTTCCCACTGAAAATCAGTGAGTGGAAAAAAGAAACAAACATGTAGCAATTCAGTATATTTGTTAAATGGAACCATACACTTTTGAGATTGTCAGGATCGCATGCAGGAGGATTTGTAGTCCCTTGGTGGGTTCTTGATCATCTTCAGGTCCATAACTCAATTATTCCTAATTGAGATCTGGAAGATCTGTTGCAACATGAAGTAGGAAATCCTAATAACTTATTGGCTGTATGCTAAGTGCCATTCTTTTCATTCAACATCACAATTAATTCATTTTATGATGCAATGTGCAGTGGAGCAGTTTGTTAAATGTTAAAAGGAATAATTACAAAACAATAAACAATGCTGATTTAAACAAACAAACATAAATGCAAAGTATATTTTATATGTACATTAAATTATACTCATATACTACCTATTATATTGGCATATTATAATTTCCTTATTTTGGAGAGTATTTTCTAGCCAGAATTTATCTGTGTATCCTTGATTCCCAGTGATAATACAATGTAGATGTCATACATAAGTGAATAGAAATTCTACCATTGAACTTGTTTGGGATAAAAATCAATATTTTATTCTGCAGAATTTATCTCAGATAAACGTTATCCAGAACCAAACTCTACCAATGAACTGGTTTGGGATGAAAATCAGAAAGGATTGCAGATAAACAATATGCAAACATTAATCATTATGTTAAATAATTTATAAGATATATTTTAAAAATGTTAGGAAAAGAAATCACATTTCCCTCATGTTCTGCAAAGATCTATATAAAGCAAGAGTAATATAGAAAAATAAATGTATTTCAATGTTTAAGAAAAATTAGGGAAAGTTCTGCTGAATTCATTTCTATGGAAAATTTGCATAGAACATTTTTATTATTTTTTCCAATTTCTCCCAGTTTCACCTGTCTTTCCTTCAAAATAAGATTTGACATATTTTCATATTTGAATTTGGTGTCAGAAGATACCTATGCCTTTTTTTTTTAAATAATGACTCAGGAAACAATTTAATTTAATTTAATTAATTCAATTTATATGCCGCCCCTCTCTGAAGAATCAGGGCGGCTAAATGGTACACCAAGAAAAAATTATTAAAGAAATAATAAATGTGACATGGATTGTTTTTGTGTCAAATCCCTGCTTGAAAAAGCAGCAATTCCCCATCAGGAAAGGAAGGAAAGGGAAGAGAAGGGAAGGGAGGGAGGGAGGGAGGGAGGGAGGAAGGAAGGAAGGAAGGAAGGAAGGAAGGAAGGAAGGAAGGAAGGAGGGAGGGAAGGAAGCAAGCTTAGTTTAGCTTAAAATTTAAGAATATACAGTTTCTACAGATTCTTTAATTCTGTTCCCCAAGAATACAAAATATGGTTAGTTTAATTTAATTTAATTTAAAATGTTTTACTACTGAATTATTCATAATAAGCCCACAATGCTTTACTAGGAGTAATAATGAAGAATTGGAACTGGTAAAAAAATATATTATAAAGTCTGCTTCTTTTCTCAGGAAACTTACCAAATCCTATCTTGCTTTTAAACTGAAGTTCACTATTGATTTGTTAATTTTCTAGCCTGAAAAATGCTGCATCTGTCATCGGTTGTGAAAAATTTATAAATGTTCATTTCATACATTCACATGAGTTTGGTATTTGCGATAGTGAATTGTTTCCCTTGAGGCAAGTTTACAAACCATCTTAGTAATTAGAAATATTGCACCTGCAGGAATCACATTGGAGTTTTATTACTTTTCTGTGTTATGCCTCCAAATATAGACTATAGAAATATAGTATATAGACTATACTTTTCAAAATAAAGTGCAACCAAAAGATGGCAGCAAAAAAAGCTCCACTAGTACTTTTTGATATCTCTTATTTGAGCAATATGCTATAACTTTTGAGGGCTTTATGTGTTACAACTCATTCACCCAAATTGTGGAGTTGTCCAGGAATGTATCTGGTGACCAAAAGATCAAGTTAGTGGGATGAATAGCAATTAGCCTGGACTTGATGTACCCCTCAGTTGTCTATGAATATATTTCTATGAATGGGAGTCTATGAATTTGGATCAGAAAAATAGCAACTTCCCTTTCACATATGTTCACATCTATTCCAGTTTTATTAATTTTTAAAAATAATATTTGGATAACTATAGTTGACCATAATTAGGATCCTTATATTTTACAAGACTCTCTAAGGGGCTCATAGCACACAAAAGTTTAAGAAATCCCATTTTACAGGAAAAATAATGTTACATTATTTAAATGTGAGATTGATCAACTATACAAAAAATAACAATTCAAAATTAATTAAATAAACGTTCACTTTTTATCAAATTACATACAGAAATGAAAAAAGTTCCATTCTGCTAGTAATTATCATCATCATCAACAACAACAACAATACCATAAGTATTAAGATTCGAGGATGATCACACAGATTCACTTATTATTTTAGAATGTTCTACAACCACAAATTATATGTATCCTTGCTATACAAAATAACCATCCAAATGAGACTCATCAGTAGAGGAGGTTTAGACAACAATTCTAAAAATATCTGCCTTCAAGAGATTAACTGAACAACAATTGATTGTCATTTTTTTAAAAAAAGCCTATTAGATTATACTAATGAAGTCCAATTATTTTGATTCTACCATATCTGTTAATTTATATGAAACAAAAAAAGGGGGGGGGCTTTGGAATATCTTTCCAAGACAATGTGCTCATTTCATAGCTCACTCTTTGCATAATATTCAGTTTGCTTTATTATGAAATCATTTTATATAATGGGAGAAATCAAAGATTTATAGCCCATTAGTTTTTTGATGGCTTCTTTCACTTCTTTGTTTTTCAGACTGTATATAAGGGGGTTTAGCGTGGGTGTGGAAATACTATATTGAACAGAGAAAAGTTCATCCATAATAATTGAAGAGGCTGAGCTGGGCCTCATCTACCTAAAACATCCAGTGCTATAATACAAAACCACAATAATAAGGTGAGCATTACAGGTAGAGAAAGTTTTCTTTTTTGCTTCAATGGACTTCAACTTCAGGGTAGTTGAGATGATATAAATATAGGAAAACAGAATCACAGTTAATGAAGATATGGCAATGGTGCTACTAGTTATGAGTAACTATGTCGAATTGGAGAATGTGTCTGTGCAAGATAAGGTAAGTAGAGATTCACAACTGAAATCCCTGATAAAATTTGCTCCACAGAAACCCAACTTCAAAGCAGGCAATGTATTTATCAAGGCATATGATAAAGCCATTGTCCAGGTACCACCCACTAGCCATCTATAACATGATTTGTTCATAATTGCACGTAATAGAGTGGTTTGCAAATGGCAGCATACCTGTCATAGGCCATTGCTGCAAGAATGCAAGGTTCATTACTTCCTGATACAAGAAAGAAGAACATTCAAGCAAAACATGCAGAATATGAAATTGTCTGCCTTTCAGTCAAAATTTCTAAGAGCTTAGGCACAGTGACAGAAGAAAAAACATATATCAAGAAAAGCCAGATGAGACAGGAAGAAGTACATAGGGCTTGAGAGATGAATTGTGGCAACCATTATCACTATATTTCCCAGTAAAGTTAGGACATAAATAATTTATAATTTATAATTTGGACAATAAAATACAAAGAATTGAAAATGATTTGATAAATATTCAAGACAATAGTTTAGAAGTAAAGTCTAAAAAGGAAGCTGGTCACGAGACCTACAATGCAGAAGATATAAAGCAAGGGATTGAAAGAGAAGTTGTAATGATGCAATATAGGCTCACAGAATTTGCGGTCAGAATGAGAGGGTTACAGGAAAATAATAGAGAT